TGGCACTTTCAAAGGGCAAAAACAATACTTTACTCATGAGATGGGAAATCAAAAAAAACTGGACCCTCCGACAACTCCTATCTCATCCGTACCTAGTATATATAAATGGGGGATTGTCCATTTCTATGTTTGAATACTGGAGGGTAGGGTCTGGTTCACTGCTAATAAGGGAGATGTGAAATGATTTGGAGATCGAACGGTTGTTTTATTGTAGCATTGAAAACACATGAAGTAACCAAACACCTGAATTTGGCCGATTTTGCTGTCGGGAAGTGCATGTTCAAGACAAAACTGAACATTTATGTGCATTTGACCATCAACAATTGGAATGAAAGTTATCTGGCAAATTCTGGCAAGTTACCCTCATGCAATGAAACCCGGTGGCTTATAAAACACCCATAACACCTCGACCGGGTTCGAACTCCGGCCATGGTTGAAGGCTTCCCTAGCGGATGTTGAGCTTAAAGTCTCATTGAATCATCCGATGATGATCTTTGGGATGATATCGTTTCTATACGGTCGGTTTTCCAGAAGACGGGGATCACGGAAAACTTGGGACCCGTGATGACAGCATTCCCACTTACAACAACTTCAACATACTTCGACCATAAAAGTCCCTATCAAATACCTGTGGAACTCATGGCCCATTAAAACGTCCATCATCTGCCAGTCTACGGGAGGGTAAGTCATCCGAAGTATACGGGCTTTATGGGCATACCCAATCAGGTGGGTGGCTTTAACAGGTTGTAACATGTTGTAAGATGTTCCCAAAAATTCTATGTAAAAACATGTAAAAACGTATTAGTTGTCTCATCCAATGGCATGGTACGGTATGGTATGCTATAGTATGGTAATATTGTATGGTAATATTGTATGGTAATATTGTATGGTATGATTATCGTACTGCCACAGCAACTGCAAACATCGCAGTTGCACCGTCCTTTCTCAAACTGAAGCTCGAAAGCAAACTTGAGTCAGTTGATTTGAACAAAAAACAATAACTGTTTTGTGGGCTAATCTGGGTAAATTATAATATTTCACTGACCTGAATCGTGCGGCCATAAAAGGGGATGATTTCCCTTACTAACCATGATTTCCAGTGAGGGAGAACAGTGAGGTCGTTATAATTTACCCAGGTTAATTCGGAGAAACACAAACATATTTCAACATATTTCAACCCATCAGATCACCCCAAACCCAAAAGACCAGTAGGCCACCCCCACGCCCGCGGAAACTCCGGTCGCCAGGCCTTGGTCTGCCAGTTTTCCGCTTCAAGAAGTTCAACTGGAAAATCACAACTTAAACCACCAATTAGCTGAAATCCTGAAACCATCCATAAACCATCCAAACTTTTTATGGAGGCTTTATGATTTATATTGATTTATGATGTTCCGATTCGTGAGCCATGTTGAGATAAATCCCCTGGAAAGAATATCTTCACATCATCGCGGGAAATCCTTGAATGTTTAGGGATGTGAAAAACAAGCGCAAACATAACATGCTTGAAACCAGGAGCCAAATGAGTAGTGCCCAGTTGGGGCTGAAATATATCATGATCCATCAAGCTGGAAAAAGTGAGTATGGGAGGTTCCCCCAAACAATCTATGGTGACATAGGCCAGTAGGATGCTACCATTCCAGCCAGTTCATCCGTGGTGGTTGGTGGAAAAAGGCGAACACACTGCATAAATATTGAGATATGAAGGCTAGCTCCTGAGGCTATGCCAAGCAATGCTGGCAAAATCTGGATTGTGCACTCTACAACCCGTCCTCGACCAAGTATCACCCAAGTAGACCGGGGCATAATGGATATATAGTCTTGGGCACTGCTCAAATGGGTCGCCCGAAACTCAAGTAGTGATGCAAATCGGACCAGTGTTCAGCAGAAACCTGCCAATGTCCAAAGAATTTTAGGTGCCAATCATGCTGCTTCATATCCCAATGAGGTACGAGTAAATCATTTACTATATCATGCTGCAAAATCTGGATCGTGATCTGGGTAAATCATAGTCACAAGCCTGAAGAAATACCCTCTGGTGATTTAACATAGCCATGGGAAATGGCCCATAGAAATAGATGGTTTACCTATTAAACATGGTGATTTTCCATGGCTATGTTAAATAACCAGATGGTAAATATCCCAAAATGACCGAAATTATCCGAATTTCTTTAGGTGAATGGTGATAATTTAAGCAGATATGTTCTTGTTTCCTGATTGGTGTTAACAAATAACCAGATGGTAAGTGATTCTTCCCCATACTAACCATCATTTCCAGATTTCCAGATGGACAGTGATACATCATGGTCGCTTCGGATTCCCATGAATGATGAAATCGTCCCCGGGAAAATGCTCTAGCAAAAAACGCGGCTTATACCCGGCCTGGTAAACAAACAAAAAACGATTGAAAATGGCCATTTATAATTAGTGGATTTACCCATTGAAAATGGTGATTTTCCATAGTTGTTTGTATGTTTACCAGAGGGTAACTTTTGGCTTACAAATCTTACAACCCCTGGTATGTAAATAAATCGGTCACCATGACCCAGTGTTGACCGCTTCAATATAATACGAACCCCACAATGGACTATGATGATTCTTATGTCATCATCAACCAAGACGTCAATTATCATGTCCCTGATTGTTGTCCTATCAAGTCCTTAATTGTATCCCCATTAATTACATCCACATAAATTGGTCAAGATCATTGCACCAGCCATCATTTATCAAATACATATATATATATATACACATACCCATATGGTTTAAATCCTGGCATAGAAATGCCCAAAAAAATGCTGACATGTGTTTCCAGGATCTTCCAGGAATTTAAAGATTATATCTACTTCATATTTCCAGTTTTCCCACGTTCCTTTAAATCTATTTTCTGGTTTCTATAAATCCTATCAATCATGAACGCAGTGCCAATCTCAGATACCCCGCCCAAAAAAAAAAAACTTAGCTGGTTAGATAATCCCATTGATGCCAAAGACTAAAAAGGATTAAACTACCCATCTAAGATTGCCCTAGAAGGTCCCAATGTGTCCCAATGAAACCACCGGTCAACTGCTTCGGTCGAGAAACGAAGCCCGTCTGCGTTACGCGGGTGGGGGAAGGCGCACGCACTGAGGCCTCATTGGGGAGTGCGATGTTCACCAAGAAGTACCGTCCAGTGTAACATGGGATCAACATCATGGGTAATTAATGTGGTTAATAATAAACCATCCCCAAAATCACCATAAATGGATGGTATAAAGTATTATAAAGTATAAACCATCAAAAATGTGGGTGGTTTCTGATTGTTTCACCCACATAATTAATATTTGCCAACCATAATAGGAACATAATGGGATTTAATAGGATTCAATGCGGTTTCATTCAATTTCAAAGATGGCTGGCTGAGAAATCCCCTAAAAAAATGTCACAGGAAAGAACAAGAACATTGAGCAGCAAACATGGCGATGCTTAAATGCAACGGGAAAGAACAATGATTTTACTAACCATCTATAACACTTAATTATAGTGGTTATTTACTAGCCATATATAAATGGGGGTATGGCTAGTAAATAATACTAGCCATCTTTACCACTAAAAACAATTATGATTGATTTTCCCACTACAACCACCGAATTATAACTGATTTTCCAATTAAAACAACCATTTACACATGATGGTCCTATTAAAACCTCCATTTTGAGGGGCTTTCCCATTGCCACGTTTGATTGCCGAAGGGTATCTGTTTTTTTCTGAATCATGACCAAGCGGCCCCAGTTGCAAGTTCGCATATAGCCAATTCATGCCAGTTTTATTACAGTACTAGATATAAACCACCATTTATCCTATAGATATTACAGTTGTAAATCAAATTGTCCTATCATCATTGGCCCACATCCAAATCCCATTTTTTGTTTGTTAAATCCTAATTCTTGCGCTTGCCCAATTTGACAAGAAATAGCTGGTAGAAACCAAGGAGTTCATTATTGGGATTGCCACATTTGTTAGCTAGCCTACTACCAATCTAACCACACAGTTTTAATACTCAAGTGAAGGATAGCGAACCTAGCTATGAACCAAAATGAACCTTGGACCTCGCTGGGGTTAGTAGATAAGTTCCTCTTGGATATATAAATCCCCCCGTTGACTGGTCAAATGGTAAACCGTAGGTTATTGAGTTATAAGCTAAATAGATTTAAGCTCAGAATGATAGTCATCCCGGAGACTTGTTCCAAACAAAAATAAGACATGTGATTGAACATTCCGCATTCCATCGACTTAAGGATCAAGCAGCCCATTCTTGATAGTTAAATCTGTTAAGTCCCTATTGTTGATGATCATTTCCCATTTAATCCTAAAAAAACAAATAGCTGATTATAGGGATTAACATCAATGGTGAATATGAACAAAAAACTAAAAAAACTATTACATCATGTTCCCTACCTCATAGTCAATTATACAATCAACTCCCTATAGGGTCCCTGCAAAAATTATATAATTGTCCCTAGAGTAGCTAACTATCCCTAGAATAGTTATCTATCCCCTGTGATCAAATTAATTCCCTGCAATGGGAACTATAATATATAATATCAATACAATCCATGTAATAAAAATATGAAGCTCATGCAATATAATATCATCCTGTAGCTCAAAATCTATATATCCATATCTCTTATATTTATGTTTTTTCCGTACAATGATAGTTACTTATCCCATGAATAGTAATCACTATACTTTCTGGTTGGTGGCTTCAACCCCCCTGAAAGATTGGATCATCATCCCCACTATTGGGAAAATACAAAAATGTTCCAAACCACGAACCAGCTTACTAGTATAATAGTTCCTTATTGCTACTTTTGTTGCAATTCGCCAGTTTCATAGTTACTTAATCTTAGAGTTAATAATCCCTACAATAGTATAGGATATATATCGTAGTTACTTATCCCAAAAACCAATATTTTTTCCCATGAAAATCTGGAGACTTCCGCTGTCCAAGGCTTCCAAGGTGCCGTCGCCCGGGGCGACATCGCCACTGGAGTCCAACTGAAGCCCACCGGGCTGGAGGGGTCGATGGGCACCTTGCCAGATTTTCCAGATTTTCCACCAGGATTTAAACGATTTGTAGGGGTTTATACAAGTTTATAGTAATGGAAAATCCTGTAGAAATGCGGGTTATAAGTTGTAAGATTTATATATAACAGATATTTTTGGAAAACATGTGTGCTACATATGTGGTGGTTTTAATGAGGATACCCCAATAGCTGGATGGTTTATTTCATGGAAAATGCCCAAAAATAAATTGATGATGAACGGGGGTACCCATATTTTAGGAAACCTCCATACAGCCATCATCTTTTCTTAGGATTTAATATGGGCCAGGAGTTCACAATCATGTAGATATATATATATATATACATTTTATATATATATATATACATTTTATATATATATATATATATGCTACCCCCCCCCAGAACCTATGTTTCAGAAGCTGCGACCCTGCTTGAAGGCATACTTCCATGTTGCAATGATTTGAGCAAAGAAGACGGCAGGTGCTGTTGATGACACGGCCAAGATGATGAGTAGCAGTCCGAAACAAAATGACAAGTAGTAGACGAACTGCTTGGTATTGACAAGAAAAGTGGCACGTTTCAAGATGGCATCCACATCAGCTTTGGTGGCTTCTTTGCAAAGGCAAGGGCGCACCATTTCCCAGAAGGTCTCGACCTGAGCACAGGGATGAAAGACTCGCCTTCGTCGACACCGGCCTCATATGCATTGGCAGCCAAGGCACGAGGTTGGTTCTGAACCCATTTCACAGCGCCCCAGCGAGCCCATGACATACTTTCATTCTTGTGATCTTGCTCAGCTACGTTGGCAAACAAAGGAGCTTCGCAAGTCCACCTCCCCCATCTTCGGCTGGCCGCAGAACCTTGTCCAACAGGCTCTTCGACAATTGTCTTCTGAAGGTGCTTTGGCCCGGAAAGAATTTGCATGGCCGTTGCCATTGACACCTATGTTCTTTCAGCCCTGGCTTCTGGAGATCTTGGAGGGCATCTGGAACTTCGACCTCTCTGCTTTGGTGATGCTTGGTGAGCCTGCTTGTGGGAAAAGTCCTCTTGGCCGGAGCGTGTTGATGGCCCAATGCCGCTTCAACAAGAAGAAGTACCAGGTGGATGGCGAGCCTTGCATCAGGTGCAGTCCAGAGATTGACTTTTTGAGGGGTGAGGCAGGCACTGTTATCATGGGCGACTTCCTAGATGATCCATGCGCCCAAACCCTGGGCTTGAAAGCTTTGAAGTCTTTGCTTGATGTCGGCCTTTAGCTCCTGGGAGCATGTTTGGCGATGAAGTCGAAGCCTTGGTCTAAGCCCTCATCTTCCAGATCATCAAAGACTTTGCGGCTCTTTGCTGTAGGTGCATCGGCTGCAAGATCGAAGCATCGCAGGTGTGTGCCACCCATGTTCTGCAAGCAGTACTGCAAGATTTTGCGGCCCACGGTGGGTACGTGCATGAACAATGGTCTGTAGACAGTGCCATACACACGCTTTTTCACGACAGAGAGCTTGGACTTTTGAGGGAAGATAATGTGCTTGATGATGATGTAGGAGCCTTCAGCGAACTCGGACAAGACAATTTGGATCTTGCAATCGCTCTGGACCTTGCTACGAAGACCGAAAGGCGCAGGAAGGAGCTGCAAGTCTTTGTTGAGGATGGCGTCCTTGTACTTTCTCTCCAGCTCTTCAATGGTGATGTCCAAATGGATCCAAATGGTAATTCTTCACCACATCCAAGTAGTGCACAGAAGGGTTGCAATCCACAGAGTCCGCCGGTTCCCTTCAGGAGGCCCGGCTTCTTCGTCACTTTGCCAAGAGAAGGTTTGCATTTGCGTGCACGCAATCGCATTGCAGAAACACAGAGAAGTTTACTGAACTGCTGGATGGTAAATGGCTACAAGTTCCGGTGAAATATGGCATTCTGTAGCAGAATAATTATTGACACAGCTTGGGGTCACTTGATTTTTTCAGTTTTTTCAGCTTTTCGGGTTTTCACCTTTCAGGAGAAGCCTAGAACTGAAAAACTGAAAAACTGAATTCCACAAGAGAAGAATGGACCCCAGACTTCTCCTATGGAATTCAGTTTTTCAGTTTTTCAGTTTTCCCTCTGTTGGTGCCTCAAATTTAATCAGAACAAAATCGGTGCCAAAATATATAAAATTCACTGTAAATACCAGTAAAATTGAAGTCTGCATAGGTTTTGGGGTGGGGGGGGTACCATATATATATAATATATATATATATATATACACTCTCATGTATGCCTTAAACTGCAATCAACCAACCATCATTTACAGGATTACTAGTGGATTTACAAGGGGTTGAACTGTCGAAAACATGTGGATATGATTTTCAGCCATTGGTACATGACCTTTGGTTGATGATCCTAAAATATTTTGAACATATCAATTGGCAATATAAGATAATATATGCGGGGGTCGCGTAGACCTAACTGAGGCCCCGGTGTTTATTGACTTAGCCAATCATGGGATGGAAAAAAACCTGAGCCAAGGGGATTGACCCTAAATTCAACACAGAACCCCATATTAATATATTGCAACATTGTACAGCATCCAAGTTTGGAGAATAATCTTCCACACCCCATCAAATCGCATGAAAAATTTGGGTTCCATGTAGAAATTTGGTTGATAAAGCATGACCCACTCGCATCTGTGGAGATCTATACATCATCTATGGATCATTCTATTGTGTCTTCAATGCGACTTCCATTCATTGGGGAATCATCATCTACGAATCAGCGAATTTTCAAGGTCGATTCAGATGGGTCCCGGATTTCTCCCGATTTCACTCACTTGAGACCAAGAAAATTAGCGAGAAGCAGTTGCAACAGGAAAGTCATCAATTTCTACTGGGGGAGTTTCCATATAGATTGCTATACGAAGAGATCTTGGTTTTTTGCCATCAGCCGCTGGCCCCGTTCCCCCGTCATTGCTTGCTCTACGGTCCAGCCATCACAATTCGCCACTTTTTTTTGGGTCAAATCTCCATGGCCAACCATGGCCATTGCCTAGACATATTCCCATACAAAGAGCAAACGATTCAATTATTATAACACATTATGAGATAGATATGCCCATTATATACCCATTAATATCATATAGTTATCATTATGAGATAGTTATCATGATATCAATTGCATTGAGCTGCTCATCACCAGTTTGTTTAGCACTAGTTGACGGTAAATTCACCATCATTTTGTCGGGTACCGTTCCTCTGCACTTTGTATAACATTTTGCAAACAATTATGGTAATCATCTGCACCCCAAACATGTCCAAAAATCATGGCATTCATGGCTAGAATCCATGATAACTCATGTGTTTGTCCCTATCATTCTTTGTTCCATTTCTCATCCATAACCCATCACAATCCAGTGTAATTCTTGGTTCCCTTATAAAATTATTAGTCCCGTCATCGTCATCGTCATCATCATCATCACCATCACCATCACCCATCTATACATATATCTATCTATCTATCTATCTATTTATCTATCTATCTATCTATCTATTCGATCTTGAAGGATTCCCAACCCTTGACTAAAGCCTCTCGGCCAAGGAGCCGGCGAAGGCGACCGTGAGACTTGATACACCGCCCGAGGGCTGGCGGCGCGGCGCGAGCTGCCCAGCATGGGCGGAATGAAGGCCAAACCCACGGGTGGGGGCGAGGCCACCTGAGGCCGGAAATGGCCGGAACGGGAGGTCGAGGGAAAATGCCGACCTAGGTATTTTTTGAGAGATAGATATAGATATATATATATATATATTTAGATATAGATATTAAAACATACATTATATCTAATCTATCTAAACAGTTTTTATCTATATTTAGATATTTAGATAAGATAGATATTATATATGTTGGATACTGATTAGTGTAGGGCCCCCCCTCAAAGAATTTTAGTCTACTCAATAACTCGGCATTTCTTGGGGACCAGGTCCAGAGAACTCAGGATGATCAACTACTTAATAAAGGATTTCAATTGAAATCAATTTACGTTCAATTGTTTTTCCTTTTAAACCTTAAGAAATCTATAAATCTATTGCTAAGACATGATTTCAATTGAAATCAATCTGCTTTCAATTGCTTTTCCTTTTACATAAACCTCAAAGAAATCTATTGATAAGAAAATAGTTCAATTGAAATGAATTTACTTTCAAGTCATTTGAATCTACGTTCAATTGATTTTCCTTTTCAATCTGAAAAGAAATCGCCCCAGGCCCCAACAGTTTTTATGCACAATAGGGTACCATCCAAACAATTACATTATTGCGGATCTGGGTCACTCATGGGGTACCCCCTTGCAAAATTGTTTGTTTTTAATATATAAGGGTTTAATAATGCACTTAATTTAATTATTTGGGAACCTTGCATTTTCAAGGCTTTACCATGGATATGGCTTTCTAAAGGAAAGGGACCAGCTTTACCCAAAGAAAGGTGGATAAAAAAAAGGTTGTGTCTTTTTTTCACCCTAAAAGTTTGTGTGCACAATAGGGTACCATCCAAACAATTACATTATCGAGGATCTGGGCCATTCATGGGGTACCCCCTTGAAAAATTGTTTGGGTGCTGTTTGTAATAAGGGTTTAATAAGGCATTTAATTATTTGGGAACCTTGCATGTTCAAGGCTTTACCGTGGATATGGCTTCCTAAAGTAAATGGACCAGCTTTACCCAAAAAAAGATGTATAAAGGTGGATAAAGCTCCTCCTGAGAAAAATGGATCTGAGAAAAAAGAACTCACAATACAATAGAGGCCACCTCCACCATTTGCAGGATACTCAATATTTTTTGGAAAAAAACAACTCACAATTGGGTCCCATGACACTAATCGGTATACTACACTATAATATCAATATTATAGATATTATATATACATATACATATGAGTGTGTGTGTGTGTGTGCGTGTGTACATGTTCACATTATTTTCTGAAAATCATATATTGCTATATAAATGTTTTGTATTTTTTTTTGCTGGGGCTTCTCTGAGGGTTTGCCCCAACAGCCGGCCCAGCACGTTCGCTCTGGGCAAAAACTGTACGAGTTGCATGATGCTAAAATACTGTACGTGGTTTAATGTACTGTACGTGGTTTGATGACAATGTAATAAAGACAATATTTAATATATATATACGTATATATATTATACAAATAATAAATCAACATGTATTCTTGTAGAGCTGGAACTGGAACCAAGACAACTTGAGAATTTTGCACCAAAACATGATGGGATCCGGTCAAGGAAATTTAGGTTTAAGCAACATCGTGTAAAATTAGGATTTAAAAAACAAACATGGAGATCTGCACAGAGGACAAAACTAAGCAACATATGGTTTGCAGGTGACAGAATAAGTGCATAAATTCAAGGTGCCTGGCTACCCAAGAGAAATTCAGGAGCATACCATGTTTGTCATTACCCTCTGGTAAACTAAGATGGCTATTGAAAATGGCCCATTTGTAGTTGCTTGACCCATTAAAAATTGTGATTTTCCAGTTCGCTATGTTAGTCATTACCAGAGGGTACCTTTTCACATGAAAAAATTACAAGACTAGTAGGACCAAAGGATGAGAATCCATGGAGTGCATCGACCCGAAGCCCTCCAGGCATTCCAGGCCCTCCAGGCCCATGTGCTTTTTTCAAGTGATGTGGATAAATTGATACCCGTGGCTTCCTGCAACAAACAACTCCTCAAACTCGGAAACATCGAGAATCATGCTCCTCTTAGCTGGGAAATGCCGTTTCGATCCATTTCTGCATACCCTCCGGTAATTTCGTAATAGCTATTGAAAATGGCCATAGAAATAGTTGATTTACCGATTTACCCATGAAAAATTGTGATCACACACACAATATATATAATATATATATATATATGTATGTATGTATGTATGTATATATATATATACCTATATATATATATATATATTTAGGTATTGAAAATTGCCATTTATACTTGATTTACCCATGTGATTTTCCATATTTATGTTAGTTTACCAGAGGGTAAATGTCCGTGTTCACTCGCCCAATGCCATAAATCATCCCCAGCCGAGCCACTCGCGTCACTGCCATGGCCACAGGTACTGGGGACGAGGCGCGGGGCGCCGGCGACACCTATCCAGCGCTGGGGGGGTCTCATGGGGTACCTATCATCTCCCATCGCAAATGGGAAGCTAAGGAGCCATACTGGGAGTTTCTCAACCGGATATAGTAAGTTGATATTTTGTTTACAGTTGATGTTTATCAGAATTGAAATATGGATACATTGCTTAGATCATTTCGATGTTTAGAACTTGGGTTTATAACTGGCGGTGCTTGTTATTATCAGCTGGTAAATAAACGTAGCCATAGGAAGTGACCATCTTGAAGATCAAACTAATTCAAATAAAAACGGACCATTTTTCACAGCTATATGGAATTGCGATGAATTGCTGGAAGGTGGTTGTTCACAAGGCACACCAACCAGCAACTGAAGCAATTGGATTGAAATTGCGGATGTTTATAAGTTGCATCTATGACTATTGTAGTGCCACGTTGTGATTTATGAAGGTATTATAATTATAAGCGCTACAATCTTGTGATATCAAAAATGCTTTAGCCGGATTTACTTTATCTGATAGATGCATTGCATTTTCCTGGTTGTTTCTGCACAGTCCGAGTCCCTGTCGCAAATTCATGAGAATAATGGAATTACCACTAGCATCATAATGCACATCATCATTACATGTCATACAATTTCATCTGTTACCGATATGTTTGTGAAAAAATGTTTCTACCGTTATAAGTCGTTATAATCAAAAAACAAAGCCCATATCTATCATTCATATTCATTCATACTGTATCATTCATTTCCAACCAATTTTAATAAACATCTTCTGCCATGTAAATTTTGGCGTCCAAATTCGCTCCAAGGAATGACCAAAACTGGAACACAGGCTGGGTCATCAAGGCGAGGGGGTGTCGACAGTCATGGGAATATCAGCCAAATGGCGAGGAAAAAAAAACAGGGTTCCAAAGCAAAAGCCATAGACATCCATAGACCAACCTATTTCTTCGGCCCAGAAATATCTGTCAGCAATCGAAGCCGTTTGGAACAGCGAAAGAAGAACACCACAGCAAAAGCCTTCGATGAAACCAACCGACACCTCCGGGTGACATGGAATTTATTTTCAGGTTCCCTCCCCAGCATCGCGCATCTCTTTTTTTCCTCCTTGGCTACAGGCGGATCACCAGCAGACTTTGCCTTGGTCAGGTCTGGTTTTCTCATCACCCTTCAAGAAGCCCTCTAAAAATGATCACACATTGGGAGACATTGGGTGTAAAGCAGAAAACCTCAGAATTTCATAGAATGTCGTTCTCTTGACTTCCTTTTTGATTTTTTTTTATATAGTTTTTGGCGTTGTTTTTTTGGACCTTTGATTGGATTGGTGATTAGGCCACCCCCTAACAGGTCACGCAGCGCGCAGAAATGATGTCTCCATTTTTGCTAGTGATGGTGGGCATCTCGAGAAGAAATGATCCCGAAACGTGGATGAAGAATACAGTTTTGCTTTCAAACTTAATGCCCAACAACATCCTCTTGGATAACCCATGGGTTATATGGACCCAGTTGCTCAACCATGATTTTTTTTGAATGTCATCCGAGCCAAATCCACGTCAGGCTCAAGCGCTAAGTGTTGAAAGCAACAATTACCATCAAGCAATGTGGGATTCCCGCAAATCAAGCCAACCAATAGCCTTTAATTCTTTTAATTCTATGCTTTTGTTGTGATTCTTGTCATGGTCAACAAATAGTATCTGTTTTCGTCATGTTCAAAAAATAGTATCGGTCTTCAATTTGTAACCAGTGTATGCCATGTCGTATGATTTGGAAAGGCCCCCTTGAAAAAGACTTTGCTCCTTTTTCTCTGCTCATTGACTCACCTTGACACTAACCCCGCAAGCTACGGGGTGGTGCTTCTTTCAACTGATAGGTGTCGAACATGTACCGCACGGCCACCTTGGAGTTGACACAGAGATCTGCTGAACGGACCAATGTGGAAGAATATCTGGTGGACTTAAGTCCAAAGTGGGAAAATTATGAAACTCACATATGGATTCACATGGTACGTGGTGGATCTTGTCAGAACACGGACAAACAGAACAAAATCGAAAGTTAGAAGTGGAGTGGATGAAACAAAATTTGGAAACATAAAACAAATCTTTGAACAGTCGCCTGGTGGATGACGGAAACTGGAAACGTTTTAAATCTGGTGATTTTTAGAATAACGATGATACGGCCAAAGTATATGACAAGAAGATACAACAACCATGTTTTATATTTATATATGATGTGTTCCAATTGTCCATCAATCATGGCCCAGTGGCCCTGTTGGAACATAAAAAAACATAAAAACATCTTCAGCCAGCAAGTCCAAGACCAACAAAGAACATGGAAACATGGGAACACAATTAAATCCGCCCGCACCGAAGGTGCTGGGGCGTGATCTTCCGGATGGCACTCGTAAAAGGTTACAGGTTTACCTGGGGGAGGGGGGGGGGTCCCATTTTTCGGCCAAAACCTCCTGTTTTTGATAGGTCGTGACGCTCGCCTTCAAAAAACACTGTAAAAAACAGTACGGAAGACACCTGTTCGTGAACGCGCCCGTCCAAAATCGGCAAGCGAAAAGTGAAAAAAAACCCGTGTTTTTCAACTTTTTGACCTCAATTTTTTGGTTTGCAACATCTTTTTTTGCGGTTCCGCAGGTGGCCTGGCCCGGAGGCGGATTTTTGAGTTTTTGGACCCGTTTTCGGACTGATTTTCGTCGTTTTGTGATAGCAGAAACACTGGTTTTTACAGTGTTTTTCTGTTTTCTGCATGCTTGACGGCTAGCTTCAAAACTTCCAAAAACCTCGTAAATTACGCTGTTTTATGTTACGGTGTGAATGAAAACATCGTAAATACCAGTGTTTTTTGACGTTGGTTAAAAAAACACTGTAAATTACAGTGTTTTTGGCCACCTGACCCTCAAAAACCATGGTATTTGCAGTGGTTTCTGCTTCTCACCGCGCAAAAACACTGTAAATAACAGCAATTTCGCCGTTTTTTCATGTTTTTCGTTATTTTTTGAACTGCGTTGGTCCGCTATACATGGCTATCAAATTCTTCGCTTTTTTTTCCGACAATCAGTACTTTCGGATGTTTTTGGTCTCAATGGCCGACATCATTGGCAGTTACGAGCGGCTGCCCAACGATGCGGTGCGGGCGGTTGCCGTCGCGAAGCGACGTGAATAATGTGTCATCTTCACGAGGCACAATCGACTTTACACAACACCCCTTCCCCTCCCCTCTCCAAACAAACGAACGAACTAACGAACAAACGAACGAACACACTAACGAACGCACAAACGAACGCACAAACAAACAAACAAACAAACAAACCAACCAACAAACAAACAAACAAACAAACAACCAACCAAGCAAGCAAGCAAGCAAGCAAGCACACAAACACACAAACAAGCAAGCAAGCAAACAAACAAACAAACAAGCAAGCAAACAAACAAGCAAACAAACAAAGAAGCAAACAAACAAACAAACAATCAAACAAACACACAAACACACAAACAAGCAAGCAAACAAACAAAGAAGCAAACAAACAAAGAAGCAAACAAACAAACAATCAAACAAACACACAAACACACAAACAAAGAAGCAAACAAACAAACAGGCAAACAAACAAAGGAGCAAACAAACACACAATCAAACAAACACACACACACAGACAGACAGACAGACAGACAAACAGACAGACAGACAGGCAGGCAGGCAGGCAGACAGACACAGACAGACAAAACATCAAAGCACAAAGAAAGGACATCAAAAAACGACTTGCACCATATTTGGAAGACCGCTCTCATCTCATTTATTATCATTCATTAACCCACTTATTTTTGTATGGGGGTCCCGTCTCTATTGAGCAGCCGGTGGTGAAAGAACATGCAAATGAACAAAATCAACTTATGTAAACCCAGGGTTATTATTCACTTACTAACTAGGATGATCCTCCAAGTAGTTAGAAGTTATAAGTTGCCATATTAGTCTATAACCCCCAACAAAACATCATACAATCACCCTTTCAGTTCGATGATTTTCCCGGCTATAAACTCCAATTTATATCAATTCATAGAATTTTAAAATATTTTGTAATGCATTTTCCATCATTTTCCTAAATTGTCCAGATGATTTTCCCATTCAAACATAATCACACCATATACCAAACCTCCATTTGCAATAGATCTGTTCCTCCAGTTTTTCCCATCAATTTTCCCAACTATTCTCACCTCCATCATCCTCCTTTCCACCCCGATTTCCCCATGGATTTTCCCATGGCAAGGCACCACCTTGGCCCATGGACTCCCAGGCACCGCGCCGGCGGCCACGGACAGCGCCACAGACATGGGAAGCTCGTGCTCTTCCAACGCGTCGGCACCGTCCTAGCACCGTTGTTTTTGTGGAGAAAAAGGCTGTCTTTTTTTGGGTGGTTTTCGGCATTTTGTTTCATAGAAATATGAAAAAATGTGGTTTGAGGTGTTTTAAGTCTTTTTTGAATGATTTTGAAAAGAATTTAAGAGAACGACGGGATGTTTGGGCAACTATGTCCGATGGAAATCACGGTTTCTTTGTTGGAAAAAGTTGCAGTAAACGATGTTGATTTGAACACATGTTGTCCTTAAGTTTGCTTCATGCAAAAAAAACGACAAAATCAAGGACCTAGGAGATCCTAACCTAGGAGAAGTGACAAGAAAAAATTAAGACGTCTTAAGCCAGTTAACTATGTGTAAATGAAATAGCTGAAATCAGTTGAGGTGTTTATAAGTTTTATGAACTTAAAGCACATCTCAAATCAAATGGCACTATAAATGTGACATTTTTCAACCCAGTTGTGAATTTTTATAGAACGAACTGCGAATGGGATGCACGAACTGGAATGCGTTGATACATGTTGATAAGCTTACCATAGGCAGTCACCATGTTTGATACCTTGCGATGGTCCCTTTGCATCGCGTCCGTGCTTCTGAGCAGCTGGTTGCTAGTTTCAAAATGGTTCAACCTCCCTGCTTCCCTGCCAACAAATCCAAGTCATAATAGTTATATAGTCAAATGATGTCAAATGTCATCGACATCTGAGGCAGTCGTGGACATGCACAAGCAATTTGAACCCACCAGGTTGTCATAAGCCATCAGAACCCCATTCATTCTACAGTATGTCTGTGGATGAATGTTCAATCCCCAAAGCTAGGATTTAGATCTTTAGTTATTTTTTAAGTATATGTTATATTAGGGTTTAGGGTTTATGTTTTGCATGTTTTTATATATCTTTATTCATTTTAAGTATTCCCCCAGAGATTTCATAGTTTTTCCCAGTTCCATGGGCCCAGAGAGCCCCACACCCATTATGGGAGCATCCCAGCTGAACTCTGAACCGAGCGTCGTAGGCCAGGTTCATCTCTTTAACTTTCAGTTCCAAAGGCCGGTGGCACCAGTGAAAGATCAACATCTGAGACAGAGATCCTCGGACGAGTGAATTTCACCATGGACATCTCGTTTTCACATCGTGTGAATGCACCAGACCAACAATTGAGGATTGAACCCACTAGAATTGGGGGGTTGATATGGGCTTTTAATGTTTTAACCTGCTTTATATTGTTTTATATTGTTTTATACAGTATATATATATATATGGTTTGCATCACCAAGATATGTGCTTTTATATGATTTTTAATCACCAAACGTCATACTCCAATGGATCGGTTTGGGACAATTCACGGGAAAACCACTGAATTTAGCCTGGAAACCACTGATTGGTTTCCTGCAAGCTATTTCCCATGATCCACCTCTTGGATCATAACTTCTAGTGTCCGTTGTAGAGTAATGGATAATGAGGGGCCAGACATTGCATTTCTTTGCTGGTTACTTGCTGCGCTACTTGCTAAGGACTTACTTTATTGGCTGACCGTCAAGATAGGTAGGTCGCGAGTCAAACATGTTTCAGATTGCTCGGATGATCCAAGTCCAGTGGGGGCCCCTACCGGTCGGTCCAAAGGAGAAGATCCTCTAAGACCCATGGGTAAACTAACATAACTATGGAAAATCACCATTTTTAATGGGAAAATCCACTATAAATGGTGATTTTCAATAGCTATTTTGACATTACCAGAGGGTAAGACCCATGGGTAAACCGCTACTTCCCCCAGCGGCACAAGGATCCCAGCCATCCAATGTCGCCGATGACCACTTCGTTTAAGTCCTCCAAGACGGAGCCGCGGATAGGCACCAAATCCTCCGGCACACTGGCCACTTGCAACACCTGCTACCCAGGGAGCCAAGGGATCCAAGGGATCCAAAGGGATGGAAGGAGACCACCCAGGGTGAACACCTCTTCGACCCCTTAGAGACCATGCCAGACCACTCTTGGATTCCACCCCTGTTTCACCATGGTCATCCTTTTGTTTCAACCAACATGTCCGTGTCCTGAAGATTTCAGGACCAACTTGCAGGTTTGATATTTGGACTCTTTCTATATATTATTATATATTATTTCCGGAAATCCTCAGCACTTCCATGGTCGTTTTATGGCCAACAGTTATTCACCCACCCCCGTTCGTCGAACCAACCTGGGCAGGCAAAGCCAGGAAAATGTGCAGGCCCCGCTGGTCGATTTCAAAGGGATGATCGTGATACCAGGTTAAGAACCTCAGATGCAAGGCCCAGCCTGGATCCAGAAATCATTTAACCAGGCATTCAACTCAAAAAATCTATTTAAGGGCAACTGGGCAACTTATGGCAGGTTATTGTTGTCAAATGTGTATGTATTATATTGCATTATATATATTATATATATGTATATATATATGTGTGTGTGTGTGTGTGCTTATATACCCTTCATATGTTCTTTTGGACATACTATATTCCCATATGCATCTATATGCCATATGCTCCATGGTGCTGGAATATTTACCAACATTTGCCCAAACAAAATCACCCAGTCATGTACTGTAGGTATAACATACATGGAGCATATGGGTATTGGTATACAAAGTGGCGTTTCTTGGTATGATGGATAGTGTGGACCAGCACTGTCCAGATGTCAGAGGGTGGGATCCTAGGTTTTTGATGGGAAAGAAATCACATTGAAACCAGCAAGATCAAATGCAAAAAGCAAAAACATGGACCGGAAACACCAGGATGGATACGCTAATATAGCATTTTAGTATTGAAAGCCATGGTGACTTTGGGATCCCCCTGTTTAGGAAACCCCCATATGGCTTTCTTGAACTTTTACTTGCTGACAAAATCAACCAAATATTGGCTACCCCATGAAGGTTCAAATTCGAGTTGGTGGCTGATTTGATTTTACCTCGAGGCGCTGTCAAAGATGTCCAGCCTTCACAACTGTTGCATCAAACTAAATAGTTATCTTGGCAAACATAGACTATGGAAACTTCAAAAAATCATCACCAAAATGTGAATGTCGTTGAAAATTGCGTGCTCTATCTACTTCAGTATTATATACATGGATTCATGGATAAATTCCAATCCCAAACTTCGTTTGTTTGCCCATGAGGCTGATAATTTACCCACTATAAAACACATATGAACACAGGCCGTCTGGTAATTCAACATGGATATTGACAATTGGCAATCGATGATCTACCTGTAAAAAAATGTGATTATCTATAGTGATGTGACATTCACAAAGGGTATGAAAATTCAATCAAGGGGATATCAAATCCCGTTAACCTAATCTTAAATTAATATGTTCTCTCTTAACACTGTGATTCCTCTGATCTAGGCACATAAGCTGAAATTTGATCCAGAAATCTTACAACCATTGACAATCATCGGTTGGTCATTTGGATTTCAACAAATTAACCACCTCACCCCAAAACAATAGAACAGGAAAATTCCAATCAAAATAGTGATAAAGTATGATAAAGTACTTGCCCATGTTTTTGCAAAAACATTCTCTTGGGGTTACTATGGGTTACTCTAAATTAGTCAAGTATTTTGCTGTATTTCGGGCCAGGGAGCTGTGACATCCACACAGCTGTCCTCCCAGAGGCCTGAGCCATGGAAAAACCTACATAGAAATCATGGAATGAATAGGAAAACCATGAAACACATTGAACTTCATTGAACCACTATTTAGTTGTGGGATGTTTCGGCGTGTTTCGGGATGCTTCAGGAAACTTGCATTGCATCATACTGCATTGCGTTGCTGTCAGACCGTGTGTTTGTTCAGATTGCAATTTTGGGATCACTTGAAGTGTCGAACATGATAAATGACCATGAACATCGAAATGGAAGTGCCAATGCTGAAGAGGACCATGGAAAATGCGTAGATCGCATGTGGGATTTCCCATGTCCAAGTTGGAGAACAGGGGGATAAGTTTGGAGAATGTTCAATGTGGCGACTGGGGCCCCCGTTTCGGGCTTCCATACCATGGAGCTACACAACCAGCGGGTCATGGCAGGTCCTCAGAATCCCAATGTTTCAGGGAAAATTGAACCCCGAAAGCCTCATATTTCATGGGAAAATCGATGGTTTCCGGTTGAGATTTTCCGAATTAAACCAATCCATTGATGGATGGAATCGGGGCCTTCAAGTAGAAAATGCCAATGTTGATGCAATCACCGTCCCCATGACGTGCGAAGAGCGCGTCCCAGTCATCTGCCGCTGCTTGAAAGCGCTCCGTGGGGTCACGGAGTAGGAAGGTATCCTGCGAAAATGTTGCGACACACGGGGAGAGAACAACTTTTGAAGATGTTTTAAGTATAGCAACCCCAAACAAATGCAGAAAAGGATAGAAAGGGTTCAGTTTATCATTATGTTTCTAGGAGTCTACGAACTTCTTTCTTTTTCGGGGTTGCTACGGTGAACGCGCAAGCGCATTGCTATCGCAGCCAGGGCTCCATATCCAAATAGATCACGTCAATGCCTCGTGCAGCTGATGGTCATCCCAGCTCCAAGACCCTGGGAGGAAGTTCTCTATAGTTACTGGCAAAACACCCAGAACATACCACCTGGTAAATTAACATAGACCCTGAAAATCACCAATTTTTAATGGAAACTAGTCTTCCAACCCCTATCTGCCAGGGTCTATGTTAATTTACCAAAGGGTAGATTTTCATAGGTTTTCGTGAGTCTTCAACCATGAGAATATGACCAAGACATGGGCCGATAAATGCGGATAAACACTGGCTTCAACATTGATTTCTCAAAGGAGCCAACATACGCAAGCACCTGCATCAAAAAACAGATGTTTTTTGTTGAACGGTGATGTCAGCCCCACAAAAAGCACCAACATGGCAAATGTCTGGATCAACATGATACTTGACAAACCTAGCCTAAAACCTTTTTGGGGATTATGATTACCATCTGGTTATTTAACATAGCCGTGGAAAATAACATAAAATAATTAACCATGTTTAAGAACGGTAAACCATCTATTTCGATTAGGGCCATCAACAAACCATGGCTATGTAACAGTCATAACCAGAGGCTATTCCCTTTACCGGCCATCATTCCAGTGACGTCGCGAGGGTTGAAACATCCAGCCAGATGGCTTTGTGCTTAAAACCTAGGGATACCTAGGGTGTTCCAGTTCTCCAAATGGTTTTTCATCTTGTTCCCAGTCAGTGAATGGCAAAGTTGTGGATGTCACTTTAAATGTTGGTCTGTTCCCCACTTTCGACATCTTTCGACCATGTTTTCTTTCCTAAACCCAGAGGCCCAGAGGGGGAAAAAAGTGGGGAGACTCTCAGAGCCGAGACTCCAAGGTGAAGCAAACCTTGAATCCCCGTGAAGCGATGCACTTGCGACGCGGTGTCCTGGGACCGCTGGGACATGTTTGCAGCCACTTGGCGGAACCGGTTGCCACGTGGCCGAGTTCGCTTGCAAAGTGGACACGTGGAAAATGACATGTGCACGACAAATAAATATCAAGAAAATGACAAGTAAGATTATCTTACTATGATTCAATTAAGACTTGAGAAGCGTCAGGACATGTCAAAACCAACTGTTGTTAATGGGGAGACCATGCAATGAGCATGATGATCTTCAATATATTGGGCAGTCTAACCGCTCTAACCCCCCTACAATCATCAACCAATTGGTGTTTTTGAAACTGCCCAAGTGGGACCAACAAACTGTTCATGATTGTTTTTCCCCGGCAGCAAATGGACATAAAAAAAGTTTAAGGTATGCTTCGGAGATACATTTCATATCAACAAGGAAGGATGATAACTTGAAAAAAGTAGAGTAGCAAGCACGACAGGGCATTCTATTTTTGACTTGATTTGACATTACCTCATAATTTCATTGTGCCGTGTCCACCCCCCCAAAAAAACAAGGCACTTCAAAAAACCGTGATGGCTGAGATAGACTACCCACCAAACCTCAAGAATTCATCTGATTCGAGAGCAAGCAGAACCCTTTATGGACTTGGCAGTTTGTTTTCCTCTTCCTGGTTTCAACACATTCTAAACCAACAAAAAACTCAGCTCAATAGAGAATATTGAGATTATCGTCCGTGACATGGATGGACAATTCAAACATGTTCCACCTTTTTCAGGGGTCAAATATCATCGAACTTTGCCATCTCAACTGACCCAAGTCGCTGGCACCCAGCAAATCACATCCTGGCCACCTCGGCCAGCTCATGGCGATGCCCCAATCCCAAACTGCTTCATTCAACTTGGAGAAACCCGAGAAAAAAAAACATAGCAGCTGGTTCCAGGTTCCACTCATTCCTTTACCATAAAAAATATGTTATATAATTAGTTATACATACATATAATTGGTGAGCGGTTGGTGGTTTCAACCATTGAATTATTGTTGTCAAACCCTGTTTGGGATGACACCCTGTGATCTTTGGGATTCTTTTTTGCAAAGTGTAGCATTTTGAAAGTTAAAAGCTGCTTGACCCTCCCAACGCTTGGGTGTACACAAAGGAAATCTACTGAGCTTTGTAAAATTGAACTTCAACTGGTGCACGCCTGGGTTGAGAGAGGCACTGAAGAGAACTGGTTGGTTCGTAATTACAGTAGCTGACCCAAAACCCTAAAACTACCAAGAGATGTTGCGGGTATCGCGGTTCTTTACCTCCCTTCCGCCCAAAAAGCCAAATATTCATGGCGAGTAGGAACTGACCTGAAAAGTCCAGCCACTTTGGAATACCCAAGTCGTTGATTTTCCATATCTATGCTGTCTATGCTGGTATATTGCTTTACCCGTATGTGTAATTTGGAAAAATATATATGTGATATGTGGCTGATCAAACTCCCATTCTGGATGTCTCAATATCCAATCATGCCCATCCAGTTGGTTTCAAAGCCCCAGCCTTAAACCAACCATTATCCACTGAGATCACCGTATATGTTTGATCTTCAACCCTCCTATTAAAAAATGATCTTGATATCCACATTTCATGACTCATCAACCATCAACCAACCACCATGCCCCATCTTTTTGGGGTGTGACCCCCCATGAATATGATCCATCATTTATCACCATCTATCCCCATCTATAGTTGAAACCCTCCTCAATGAACTACACCAACTTAGCTATCGAAAATCGCATCCAAATCCCATGTTGAATGCTCAATTTCCATCAACCAAATCAAGATTCCCATGAGTTTTTCATAAATTATGTCCCAGTTTTCCTGGTGAACCATGGGTTCACCTATGGTTCAACCTATAGTTTCCCGCACCTTGGCCAATGCCAAGCGTCTCAGGGCGCGACACACCGGTGCCGCCGCGCCAATGGCGATGACCAGCAGCGGATGCCTCAAGGCCAGCTGCGCCATCCGCCGCTGCATGCGCTGCAGCAGCTGGGCCCAGCCATCGCCGTAGAGGAGGACCTCGTGGCGACCCTGGGGACCTGGGGACCGACCTGGATGTCTGGTGAATTTTGAGGACTGTAGATGACTGTACCGTGAGACATGGGGAAAATATCCATGAAAATGAGATTGAACTTCAATGAGATGGGGAAAATATCCATGAAAATATCCATGAACTTCAAGAAAACCAAAACATTGGTGGTTGAGCCACCTGACAGTACAGCAAAGGGCCGTTTGCGTCACCCCAACGACATCCACCTGAACTGTGGTTCCATAGCGATGAATCCGGATTGAAATCTGTGAATCTTTGGGTCAAGGCTTACAAGGCCTACAAAACTTGACCAGGTAGCAGCTAACCCCTTGTTCAACAAACTATGTAACTGATCGAGAGGGATTTTGCTTCACATATCCGACTGACCCCCGAGTGGCTTGGACCCATTGCAATCCAATATTGAAACAGGCATGCGCGGGGTGGCGGTAGGCGTTACTTGTTACCTGGTGGATTTCTCACCTTCTTTGAATTCCCCGAAATCCAACAGCGCTGGGAACCCCCGGCCACGTAGGCCAATCGGGTCGTCAGCTGTTGCTGGTGCGCACGGGCGGCGAGGGCAGAAGCGGCATCGATCATGCTCATTGCGATCTGCCTGCGCAGACTGGCCCATGTCCGGTGCCTTGAGATATAGATGATATATAGGATTGAGGGTACCTTAAATCGATGGATTGGTTGAAGGGAACATTGACAAGAAACCCCCATAGGAAATCTATGGATTACCGTAGGTTTTCCCTTACTCAATTGATCTCATTTGATTAAACTTAACTTCAACTGATTTAAGCGGCAAACGTGAGGATTAAACAACGGACATGGTACTGCACCACTTTGGAATCCGCTCAGTTGGCCTTTTAGTTTGCTAGGGGCACCACCTTGCATGGTCCATCGTATGTAAATTATTGCATAATCCCAACACTGGTGGTGGTTATTATGAACGGTTGCCATTAGAAATCCTTAGTAAAAACACGTAAAATCATTTATATGCATTGTAATGCTGAACTTGCACGTTGGGCACTCACTACAATGTCGTACTAATGGTGGTATGACCATCCCCCAATATGTGGGGATGCAATCCAATTTTTCAAACCATAGCACATGTTGGTATAATTGCTAGCAAATAAAGATAAGACCACTGTCATTGGTCAGTCATGATGGTACGCCAATAATAAACCAGCCCTCACTTCATAGCTTTGCCGCCAATCTATCAATCCATCCCTCTCTCCGTCCATCCGTCGATCTATCTAAAATATAAGTTAAAGATCCAAATATATCACGATATTGATATAATATCATTATTGATCTAGTTTTCCTAAACACATATGTATACTATATACATCTATATGATCCCGCATGTACAGCTCGCTAGATGCTTTGCGGCCGACTTTATAGAGAATAGCCTGGTATAAACTGGAATGGCCACATGTTTGGAGTCTATAAAGTGGAAAGCCAACATGTTCTGTCTATAAAGTCAAAATCCAACGTTTGTATAAAGTCGCCTGGCCGCGTAAAAACATAAAACTCGATGTAGGTTTTTGAGGGTACTTGTGAACATGTCCCATGACTATAAAGTGAGATGCCGAACATCCAGATAGTAATACTTGTGTCGAACAGTGGCACTATAATGTGGATTTCCTACTAAACAACGATCGTTGTAGTAGCGATGATTTTCTTAATCGCGACGATGGAAGCATCGACATGATTGTCTATAAAGTTGAGGGGCCACGTTCAAACTTTGGGGGAATATCATCGATCTCATCGATGGGGAACCCAAAAGACTTCGAATGACTTCGAAACCGAACGAAACCGACAGCCAGACAAATATCTATATCGAAGTCGTTAACAGAATCTATGGTAAAACAAAATCTATGTTGGACTGGCCACTTTATACCCCCTCCCCCAACAGAGAATGCCTCTATAAAGTGGCCAGTCCAGGTAAAACCCCTGAAAAAACAGAATCTATGTTGGACTGGCCACTTTATACCCCCTCCCCCAACAGAGAATGCCTCTATAAAGTGGCCAGTCCAGGTAAAACCCCTGAAAAAACAGAATCTATGTTGGACTGGCCACTTTATACCCCCTCCCCCAACAGAGAATGCCTCTATAAAGTGGCCAGTCCAGGTAAAACCCCTGAAAAAAGAGAATCTATGTTGGAATGGCCACTTTATACCCCCTCCCCCAACAGAGAATGCCTCTATAAAGTGGCCAGTCCAGGTAAAACCCCTAAAAAAACAGAATCTATGTTGGACTGGCCGCTCTATACCCCCTCCCCCAACAGAGAATGCCTCTATAAAGTGGCCAGTCCAGGTAAAACCCCTGAAAAAACAGAATCTATGTTGGACATGCCACTTTATACCCCTCCCCCAACAGAGAATGCCTCTATAAAGTGGCCAGTCCAGGTAAAACCCCTGAAAAAACAGAATCTATGTTGGACTGGCCGCTTTATACCCCCTCCCCCAACAGAGAATGCCTCTATAAAGTGGCCAGGTAAAACCCCTGAAAAAACACATTTTTACCTGGAATGGCCAGTTTATACCCCAGCCAGTCGGCTCCAGGACTTTGACCCGGAAACGGAAGGACTGACAACAAGGTAAAGGGGGAAAACTACAACGGAGAGGTACAACGGGAAGGCTACCACAAGAAAATGAGACATGTCACGTTTATATACGTTTGTTGTTTTCAATGTGTCATATAGATTGGCGATGATTGGTATATTGAATATGTTGTAGATGTATTTTGGAACATATGTATACCTATGATTCACACATCAATAAATATATATATATATATAAATCATAAACACATGCCAAACCAAAAACTTTTAGCTGAGTATTGTATTCCCAATCTGTTGGCAAATGTCCAGCCGATTCACCATGCGTGACCCAACAAGATTCAAACTATGGATTGTTTACTTTCGAAAATTTTTTTTTACTGGGTGAATCTACGTATATCTATGACGACAATCTCCCAAAATCATCCTAAAAATCTATGGACATCTATGGACCAAAACCACGGCCACATGCCCATCCTCTATAAAATGGTTTGCAAGAAAGTTCAGCTCTATAAAGTGGCTTGATCACGTCATTTCTGGCAGCCCCACCCTCTGTATAAACTGGCCATCCTCTATAAAATTGTTTGCACGAACCAGTAAAAAAAAATCGACAGTAAACAATCCATAGTTTGAATCTTGTTGGGTCACGCATGGTGAATCGGCTGGACATTTGCCAACAGATTGGGAATACAATACTCAGCTAAAAGTGTTTGGTTTGGCATGTGTTTATGATATATATATATATGTATATATATATATGTATATATATATTTATATTGATGTGTGAATCATAGGTATACATATGTTCCAAAATACATCTACAACATATGCAATATACCAATCATCGCCAATCTTTATGACGCATTGAAAACAATAAACGTATATAAACGTGACATGTCTCATTTTCTTGTGGTAGCCTTCCCGTTGTACCTCTCCGTTGTAGTTTTCCCCCTTTACCTTGTTGTCAGTCCTTCCGCTTCCGGGTCAAAGTCCTGGAGCCCACTGGCTGGGGTATAAAGTGGCCATTCCAGGTAAAAATGTGTTTTTTCAGGGGTTTTACCTGGACTGGCCACTTTATAGAGGCATTCTCTGTTGGGGGAGGGGGTATAAAATGGCCATTCCAGGTAAAAATGTGTTTTTTCAGGGGTTTTACTTGGACTGGCCACTTTATAGAGGCATTCTCTGTTGGGGGAGGGGGTATAAAGTGGCCAGTCCAACATAGATTCTGTTTTTTCAGGGGTTTTACCTGGACTGGCGACTTTATAGAGGCATTCTGATTCTCTGTTTGGGGATGGGGTATAAAGTGGCCAGTCCAACATAGATTCCGTTTTTTCAGGGGTTTTACCTGGACTGGCCACTTTATAGAGAAGAAGATTTCCCTTGAAAGGGGTCCTCAGGGTGAATGGGGTCCTGGGCAGCTCGATAAAGTGACTTGGATGATGTATCTCATGACTCTATAAAATGCTCTGCCGCAATTTTCTTTCTATAAAGTGCCCTGGATGCAGCACAAATTCTTCTTCTTAAAGGGCAAGTTTCACTCTATAAAGTGCTTTGCCATGTATACAGCCCCAACAGAAAAATATTGGCCCGAAATAATTGGGGAGACATGTTTCTATAAAGTGGATGGTGTGACATATTATGGCCATTCTTTGAAGGGAACCAACGGTCTATAAAATGCATTGCCGCATATATTGAGTCGTTTCCTTGTGGGAAACCAGCCGGGTATAAACTGGAAAGCCATCTTCCAGGTCCAAGGGCATGTTTCTCGCGCAAAACACGGCTTTATCCCCCATTGTCGGTATATAAAGTGGCGACCGGAAACCCACTTTATAAGCGCAAAGGATGTCCACTTTATAGTGAGCTATACATGGGGGATTCTATATGAATATATATAAGGAAGTTTAGAAGTCAAACTTCCGACAATATGGAGAGATGAAAAGCAGAGCAGGGCAGAGGCAGAGAGAAGAGGAAGATTAGAAGAGAGAAGATCAGAAGAGAAAGAGTAAGAAGACAGAAGATACAGATGCGCGAAAAGGTAGGAAAGTCGCGAAACACTGTGTTTTTCCACTGATTTGTGGCTCCCCAG